GCTTTCTTCCTCTGGGTCCCGCCAGGCTCTGGCTTTTGAATGCATGCAGTTCTGTATTGTCAGCGTCTGAGAATCTCAGATCACAATTAGAATGCAATTATCCTCTTACTCACTAGTATTAAGTGGGAAGGTAGTTTTGCAAGGTGTGCGATGGGCCAGTCTCATTCATTGCTGTGGAGTTTACATCTTACTGTGTTTCTAGATGAATGGGAAAAACAAACATATAAATGTGACCTAATGCAAAGATCTCTCCCAGAGTTTACACACAGTCCTGATGTCTATTTTCAAGTAAGAATGAGGAGAGGCTCAAACAAATGAAAAGATCCAGTCTTGGTAAGAGCACACCAGTGGTGCCAGCAGCGGATGAGGAAGAACCAGACCTAAGAGCTGGCTGGGAAGGGGCCATTAAAGAAGGGGGGAGTGTGGGCTGCAGAAGGTTTGGGGTGGGACTGAAGGGGAGGATCTCCCAACAGTGACGGTAATGGCAACAGTTAGAGATGAGGTTTAGGATGAGAGGGGAAGACAGAGTGAGGCAGGATCTAGAGGGTGGTGCTAGGAAGGAGCAGTTGACTGTTTCCCTGTGAAGTCTATAGAAAAATGAAGTTATTCTTTTGATAGCTATTTAGGATCCAAAAAGTGTGACAGTACCATTCTTTGTTCTCTTGCTTTTACAACTGTGTCATCTGAAAACTTGGCTTATGTTTTGTGGTTGTTTGGGGTCTGCCCTTTGTGAGATATTTTGCACAAGGTAGCCTTCAAAACCTTTTTCTTGTTTATTAATACCCCTGCCATTTTTTTTCTTCCAAATGTCATCTGTTTCATTTGAGAATTGTAGCCTGGGGTGCTTCAATTATGAATGAATGTGAAGTATTTGGGATGTGCTATTCACAAGTGCTTTCAATTTGCCATCTGAGCTTTGAATATGAGCAGAATCCCCAATATTTTAGTTCCTAGGGCACTCTTAAATGTGCAGTCAAGATGTAGCTTTTGTTCTTAAGTGCTCGGTTTTTTACCCAGTCTCTAGTGAGACCTTATGAACCTTCCACATGAATTTTCCGTAGAGTAAATTGCTAGCACAGAGCAAGGAAATTCCTGATGGCTTGTAGCACAGGTGTCTACTCTGAGATCTCCTTCTCCTGGTAGCACCCTCTCTAGCAGTCTCCCTCTGTAGCTGAACATACTTGCTTTGAGTTTCTGAATGACAAGTGATTGTCTTGCCTCTCATCTGGCAACATGCAAATCTCCAGCTCAGAACTGTGATGTCTTTTCTGATTGCCTCTGTGTGGGCAAACGTTCTTTCCAGAACAGCATGCACTGTTTTTCTTGTTTTGGAAGAGCTTGGCACAGTTTTCACCCATACCCTGTTGCTTAGACATTTGGGTATATTGATTGATATCTGCTTTAGTGTTTTGTGATGGGAAGAGGCAGAAGTGTTTGTAGGTGGGAAGAAAGATGAGACAGAGACTGTGAAGGTCTTTTCTTACTGTCAGGCTTTTAAAGGGAAGAGACTGTTAGGATACTGCATGGAGACTGAAGGCAGAAGAGAGGCACGTTTGAGGGATGAGTTGAACGGTGTGAGGAGAGAGATCTGGCATTGTGAGCATGGGATTAAAACGTGTTGGATTGAAAGTATCTGGTGCAGTAGGGCTGCAGTAGATAGAGACATGGCAGAACTGAACATGTAGCTGTTCTGGTAAGAAACAAATAATTGAAGGATGACTAGAGAAAGATCCATTTCTGTGCCAGCACTGCAGGTTAAAGAACTTCAGCCTGTAGTTGCGCCCTAAGACATATGATGTATAGAAGTTATCCCATTTGGTGCTGTAGATCGAATGGATCCGTAAACACTAGAAAAGATACACAGTAAAAGTGATCTCTGCAGATATCTGAGAAGCACTGTTTTGACTGTCACCCGCAGAAGCAGAGGATGTTGCTGCCAACACCATCTGTTGTCCAGCAGCAGTTGTTGAGCCTGTCTGTACTTCTGATGATGTTTTTCTGTTGGAGCACGTGGAAAGGGCATACAGTCACAGGCAAACCAGAAGCTCTGGTGAATGGTTTAACAAACTTTTTTGGGGAGCAGCTTCTCACTGTGCCTGTGAAAGTCTTGCCGCCAGTTCCTGTCAATTCAGTGTTTTTTCTGTAGACTGCTAACTGTTAAATACTACTTCTAATGTGTTACAGAATGGGGTGGGGGGGGAATGCTTTGAGCTTCAGTAGGCAGGATCTTAATGATTTCAGGTAGAATGAAATAAGCTGCGTGAAAGGATGGGGAGAGAGAAAATAAAGGATATATGGGATTCTTGGCACTTGCAAGGATATTTGAAGCTATACCTTTGTCAGTTGTCTGTAACCAGCAGCTGTTTCACAGCAGCCTTTATGTCTTCAAACATTATGCTGCCGTTACCCGTCTTCCCAAAAGAGCTGAGCATGATAAAGCTTTGAATGATGTTTCTTCAAAACAAGAGAGATTGTACCAAGAACAAATGCTGTGCTTGGATAGGCAAGGAAATGCCCAAGGAGAAAAAAGAGGGATATATTTAACATTGGAGGAGGATCAGCAGTGGGTATGGATGTTTGAGTAAAGGGCACTGGGGAGATGAACAGAGCAAGGGGGGATGAGAATCACCAGGCGGCCATTTCAAGGACCCTTGAGATAGAGGGGAGTATAGAGGAAGGGTGCCAGGTGCACAGGGAACTCTGCTAACAAAACCTGTGGTGTATGCGGCACCCTAGTAGGAGAATAGTGATACCTCAGTAGACAATTGCATGGTGGGTGTGCACTTTAAAGCAGCTGGTTGCAGACCCAAACCAGCCCATGGTGAGGGACCAATTGGCTCACCGGCAGGGGATACTCTACGGGGAACAGAAAGTGAGCACGAAGCAGAAGAGACTCTTGGTTGGCTAAGACTTACTGCAATAGGGGAGGGAAGGTGGGGAACGCTTTCCTAGACTGAGATTCCTGCTTTGTTTTCAGCTCAACTGCTAATCCAAGGTCAAAACTAATCTGTCTGCATCTTTTGTCTGCACTGCTTTGTCTGTAGATTTTAAGGGCTTGATATGTGGTCTCTGTGCTGACATACTAGTAGCCTAATCTTAATTTTGATGCCAATAATAATGAAATAACTTTGCTGTAAATTTGGAACAATCTGCCCTTTGTATGCATTTCACTGTTAAACTGCTCTCTTGAGCCCTGATTAATAGCCTAAATGACTTACCGTAATTAGCTAGTCCTCAGCCTTAGCACTGGGGAAAGCAAAAATCTTGACAGCTTTCGAAAGTGTGTTGAGTGTGTTCAGGGAGTCTACAAACTTTCATGACTTTGTCCTCATCTGGAAACTGTTTCTATCAAAAAAGGGATTTTTTTTTTTTAAGATAAGTAATGTATATTTAAGACTTCCTTTAATATGTGCTGTACTTTTTGGAATTAGCGTGTATTTTTCCTTGCATGAGTCCTTCTCACAGGCTGCAGTTCTGCATAAACTGCCCCAGCGTGGTTCCCTTCCATGGAGTGTGGTCCTTCAGGAACAGACTGCTCCCATGTTGGTCCCCCATGGGGTCACAAGTGCTGCCAGTAAACCTGCTCCAGCCTGGGCTCTTCGCTCCACAGGGCCACAGGTCCTGGCAGGAGCCTGCTCCAGTGCAGGCTTCTTCGTTCACACACATCCACCTGCTCTGGAGTGGGGTCCACCAGGGGCTGCAGGTGGATCTCTGCTCCACCGCTGACCTCCATGGGCTGCAGGGGCACAGCCTGGGCAAGTTTTTCAGAAAACTTGCATTTGTTTGTGTTTTTAAATCTTTGCCAGTTCAGTGGTGTTACAGTGCTGTTTGAGTGACTGAGCACAGTGTCTGCTTCTTCCCATTTCTCTTTCCAGCAGGTTATTTCAGGTGACTTTTAGAACAAGATGAAGGTCAGATGCCTAGTCGATTTTAGTCAGTATTCAACTTTGATGGAAGTTGCACTTGTAAATACTGTCTGTGAAATAAAATGTAAGGCTTGTGCACAAGGGGTTATGTGCTTTCTCCCTCTGCATGACAGTGCAGAAGACTCCTCTTCTAGAGGGATCACTTGTAGGAATGAAGGCATAGCTTTAATTCGGTGCTCTTTCAGGTGGTGGGTATACTAGCTGGACTGCATTTGTTTAATTATTGTCACATTACTAAGGGATAAATGTTCCTGCACTCTAACACAAACACGTATGTCCACCTACAGATGATGATGACAGCTCTCTTGAAATGCATAGCGATGCGGACTGCAATGTTGCAGGATACACACTAAAGCTACTGCAGCCTGCTACAAATGAGCCAGGCGTTTCCCTGTTCACAGCAGCACATTGTGCTGTACCCTGCTGCTTCCTGCTCAGTCTGTTTTGGTGGGTTGTCTCCAAATCGTGATCTAAGTAAAGGATCTAAGAATTAGTGCTGCACCTGGAGAGTTTGATGAGGATGTTCTGGCTGGTTGGGTATGTGTATTGCTGGTTCCTCTTATTTACAGGGGTGCACGCGCACTTGTGTCGCAGCCTAATGGTCGCTGCCAACAGAAATAAATCGGAACATTACTGCAGTGAAGCTAATGGGCCATTTCTTTCTGGTCATCTTGTAATGGCCTTTCTTGAAACTGAAGTTCCCATGGTCTCCTTTTTCTGGCAGCATTAAAGCCTATGCAGATTCAGTACAACACATAATCTCAGTTATGACTTGAGTCTTTTCCTGCCAAGCAAACAGTCTTCAAACTGTACAACAGTGACAAGAACCCCAGGAAGCCCTTCAGCTGAGGTGAAGGACTCTGTATTTATCGGTAGCTGTGCCAGCTAACCTGAGGTGGTTTTAAAGCAACAGCTCCTTGAAAGGGTCTTAGATGTTAGCAGTCTATGAAAAGTATCTGCTGCCTTGATTCTCAGCTTGTCTCCATTTGAGTTGAGCAGGTATGTTAGCAATTGCATCTCCTCCCTCTGGATTCCTTATAACCTTCTGACTTTTCTCTCTCTTTCTTGTTTAAGATTTATGTGCATCTCAAAGAAGGGAGTGGTGCTGATGGACTGGATGCTTTGAAGAACAAACCGCAGCTCCACAGTATGGTGGCCAAAAGCCTTTGTCAGAATGCCTCTGGGAAGAACTACATCATCTTCACTGGCCCAAGCATTACCAGCCTGAATCTCTTTGAAGAATTTGAAAAGCAAGGTGTGTATCCGGTGTCTCACTGGGTTTTAATGGTGACAGACCTAGGAGCCCTTCTGCCACAGAATTAAAAAAACTCCCACGAGGCTTCACTGAGATTTCAATACTTTGTATAGATGTTGGTCACCTCAAAGACACTGTCTCATTCATGAAAAAGTACTATGCAGAGGACTTTCTAAGTTGCTCTTGAAATTTTTTTCTTTAAATCTTTTAAAAGTTCAAAATTAGGATATAAAAACCTTTTTAATAAGGGTATTTAAAGCCCTTGCTTTTGTTCTTTGCCTTAGAAATGTGAGGTCTAATCTCCTATATGGCCTGGAGGACTTTTCAAGGGACTTGCTAGCTGCTTGTGATTTTTCTTTTCCCATTGTGAAAGACTTGGGATGGGATGAATCCTTAAAGGTGTGCCTTAGAAGCCCCTGTTGGTTTAATATCTGTTAAAGATGTGACTTCTCTAGATGACATTTTATGCCATTGCAAAAGCCCTAGCATGGTTCGCTTTTTTGCTGGTATAAACATACCTTGGGAGGACAGGTTTTAGTTCTGAAGGCATAATAAACTCTACATTGTCAAAAGCACATTTTCCAGAAGAATGTCCATTGATATGGCAGTGTGGCTCTCCCAGCTAGTTTCTTGCTAATGCAGAGAGTAATCCCAGGACATCCTCTCTGCCAAATGCCCCCTCACCTTGGGTGTGGAAAAGCCACATGTTACTTTGCTTTCAGGAATGCTGAGGAGTTGTGACTCCCCTTAAATTACAGGCTCCTGCACTCTTGATAGTCATTTATAAGTCAACTCAATGTAATTCTTGACTTGTTCTTTAGTCAACATGGCCTTTTGGAGTTGGTATGGTACGTACAATAGATCGTTTGTAGCAGTAAGACTGGAGGCTGCTGTTATGAATCGCGTAGGAGGAGGCTACAGGGCTGTTTCCCTCTTCAACACACCACCGATGACAAGAGTTTTGCTTTTGGCATGTTTTCCATTGCAGAAAATTAAACCCACCTGGAGCATTATATTAATGAAGCATGGCCCAAAGCAGGAGGAAAGACTGGTAATTGAGACAATATCTTGCTTCTTGTTTAAAATGAGAACACCAGTGAGCTGCACCAGTGCTGTCGGTGAGCACTTCAGACTGCGCTGGCACTGAGTGCTGTCTCTGTTGAGCTCCATGCAGGACCTAGCTCCTACATTATTTCCTCTGAGCAGAGACTGTTCTTTAGTAAATTACTTTTTTTCATAGCTGATTGTAAGCGTTACATTTTTAAGACTACCAAAGCAATGATGCAAAATGTGGGTTCAAAAAGTTATCGAGAGAGTGGGACTGGCTCTTCACAGTGGTGCATATTGGAAGGACAAAAAGCAAGTCATAAGCTGTTGCTTCTAAGATATGTGAAGATACCAAGAGCTGAGAAAACTTCAGAAAATAAGGCAGAGCTGTTGGATCTTTTTCAAAATCAAAAACCTGAACAGACCTCTTTTTTGTTTTTCAGGGGATATACGAAGCATTTGTTTCCCTGGCCTCTGAATAGAACTGGAAACTTGCACTGAAATGCCCCAGATCCTCTGTTCTGCGGGCAGACAGCTGTCATTGTTATTTGCTGTGACATTCATTCGTAGTGCACATCCCTTTCTCCCCCCTCTAAGCATTAGTGCTGTCCATTACAGAGGACAGCACCTTCTAAAGCCCTGTGTCTCATGCTTCCCTTAAACATAAGATCCCCAAAAGTCCCTTTTGCACTTTCTGAACCAGCAGCATCTGCTGGCTCTGTCCCACTGAGTGTCTGGAGTTGGCAAACCTGCAGGAGTTACCAGCCTGGGTGACCATGGCACTCCCACAAGCTTTGCAGGATCCTGAAACTCCGGCACGTGGACTAAAGCAAGCTCTCATCTCTTTCGCACAACAGTCCACCCAGTTGCCCTAGCTCTGACTGGACCCAGTGTTACATGCAGGATAAATGGTTGCAGAATGTGTATTTTTGCCTGAACTAGCTTAAGGCTGGCTGCTTTTTTGAATGGTCCTAATGAAGATGTGGTGAAACAGGCTTCAGCACAAGTTCGCCAGGGCCTGGAGACCCTGGGAATGAATCTTGGGTGACTACACCACATTTTCTCATCTTCGCTAAGATAGCTTAGGTGTACGCATTGATATTGCAGTTACAGTTTAAGAAGACCAGAGGAGGACAGCCTGTCTCCAATGACTCCTGTGTATGTGACAAAAACCTGTTGTGATTCTGATTTAATTACACACAAAAACTTCATTGAGCCAGATGGGCATAATTTTTATTGCTTCTATTGCTATAGTAACTGAGTGTTTTTAAAAAGCTCTAGAGATTAAGGGTGTCATCCATGATGAGAGATGCTAGTAAATCTGCAGAAGTGCTGCACTTCTCTAGGCTATACCTAGGGAAGGTTACACAGTGTGTTCCTGAGAGAGGCAGCAGTTCCCATTATTCTGTATGGGGAGTGAAACATCTGCTGGAAGCTTTCTGCAGGCTTATTGCCTGAGCTAACAAAAGGCTACAATTAATTATTATGGGATCTCAGAGATGGCTGGTGCTATTTTGAAGCTCTAGCACAATAATGTAGTTATTAGCAGGGTTTTATACCATTGGAGTCTCCTGGAGAGAGTATCACCCTTCAGTGAGTCATAAACTTTAGGCAGCTAAAGAAATTCTTCTCAGGCTGGCTTGTTATCAGAACAGGAAGACCTTAATATTGTCTAGAAGAAAGTTTTCTAAAAGTTTGCTATGTTAATGCCAAAGTTTGCAGGTACGTGACCTACAATGTTTGTGTACAAGAAATTAAAAAAAAACCAAAAGCCTTCCACTGCAGGTGCAGTTCCTCCTATACTGATTGTAAGCCCATTGCTGTCAGGCTTTTTTTGTTGTCTTTTGTGGAAGGAACTTACGGATTTCCAGGGACTGATTCATTCATTAAAAATAACAGAAGGAGTGCAGATTTCCTCCTTCAGAATGAAGTTGACCCATTGCTGTGTTGGTAGACCTTCTGACATGAGCATCTTAAATTTTTGATTGAAGAACCTTAGCTCCTTGTAGAACTGCCCACAGCAACTGGACTAGTTCATAAGTATTAGCAATCATTACGTTAGTATTCCTGTAATATCTGTGAGCTGTTGAGGGGATGCTCAGCATACGAGGTGCTATATGAACGAAGGACAAAGGTTGCACCTGCACACAGGAGCTTAGGTCATTCCAGAAAAACAGAGGCAGAAGAGCCACATTGGAAACCCACAAACACAGATAACACGCTCAAGGGAAGCCAGACACTGTAGTCTGACTTAGCATTTCCCCTGTAAGGATCTCCAGTTATCCAACATGCAAAATTCAGCATGATGAAAAATTTGATCAAGCAGACTTAGCTGACAGTTGAACTTTAAACTACCACAAGCATCTGCGGCCATATGAAAGATGTGCACAGATGTCACCTGTCACCTGCCCATTGTTTTTTTCCACTCAGGAGGGTTAACACAAAACCTAGGGAGACTGAGGAAATTTCCGTCCAAGATTTCCTTGAGTTCAGTTAATTTGATCAAGAAGATCTGCTTCTCATGGACTAACAGAAACAGGCCGTTGTTATTTCACAGCCTAATGACAAATTCAAGCACTGTCATTATTAATGTTTTCAAATCTTTTTTGCGCCCACTTGGCTGCATTGAGACATGTTTTGTGCTGGTAGATTTTATTCCTTGCCTCTTTCACATATGAAAAGGCCAAGATGCTGTGAGCAGCAGAATGTGTTGCCTGTAGAGGCTCTGATGTCTGTGCAGGACAAGATCAGTGCTCACTCGACTAGGGCACTGTTTGGTTTATCTCCTTTCCTGAAAATCCATTTTCATTTAACTTGTGTTTCCATCTTCCTCATCCTTTGGCACATTCATTTTTTAAATCAACCAGTGGTGTCAGTGGTTCTTAATTGCTAAAGCAGCATTTCCTTGAAAAACCAGATGATGCTGGTGCAAGTAGTGAGCTGAAAATCAAGAACTGGGCAGCATAGTGAAGCAGTAGATTAAACTAGAGTTTGTCAGCTATGTATTTTGTGATTAAAAGCGTCATGGGAGTAATGTAGGAGAATTGATTTCAGTTAACATCTAAGATACTATGGCTTTCCCTACGCAATTTATTCTCGTAGTTAAACATCAAAGACTCCCTTGGATCATAAATTCTGATTTGTTCCATAATGCATATCACCATTGGGGTAGTTTTCAATCCAATTATAAACATGTTGTGAAGACTATTACACAGATTATAGATGTTACTGTTGGGAAGATACCCTGTATTCTTCTCCTTGTCATTTCATCGTGACTGTGCAGGAGTTGTCAATACCTTTCATCAAGAGAGCAGGCTTTCTGCACTTGTCTCAGTTTCCAGAGACATTCATGTAGGGCACAAATCTTTGGCATTACAGAAGGTGGCCAGTTGGCTAGCATATCTGTTGGACTAGAAAGTTGTAGAACAAGCTCGCTCTGTAGTCAGGTTGTTCAGACTTGCTCCAGTGCTCTTGCTGTCTGGGTCCGTGCAACGGCTTGCTGAGAGGGAATGTTTTTGTTCACACGCAGAGATTTACTGCTGTGGGTTGCTGAGCGCCAGGAAAAGTGACTGCACAGGCCTACCTCCGTCCATGCTGAACAACCCTGAAACTCCCCCGTCCAGAGGACAGTACAGAATAAGAATGAAGGGAAACATGTCCTTGATCTGCTGGTACAATAAAGGGCACTTTCGTTTTTTGACCAACGCCTATTCACCGGTTCAACAAGGTAAGCAATATTGCTACTGCTCATCTCGAAAGTGCACGTTTTATGTGACAAGGCAAAATGACTCACTGAGTTTGATAATAAGCCTGAACAAAGAGCTTGATCATAATATCCTGGATAAACAGTAGCTGTAGTGATTACGCCCCTTTTATGTCTTCCTACTGCTATTCTTTTTTCCCATGCAAAGGTTAAAAGCCTACTGCTGATGCAGCCTCCTTTGCCTGAGCTGGTGGAGGCAGTATCCTTTTAGATGTGAAGACTACATCTTTGCTGATGATCAGAGAAGGGAAGATGGTTGTTGTATAATACTATACTAGACCCATTTGCAAAGCATCTTGTAGGATTGCTGATACAGAAAAATTAATAAATGTTATTATGGACTTAGAGCTTTGAGCAGATCCTACAATTAATTTATCTTATCAGTAAAAACTTAGTCACAAACAAACATCTTCTTGCCAGAAGTAAATATCATTAAGGCTTCCTGTTGTATGTTAAATTGCTTTTAGCAATTGATGAAAAGAAACCAAAACGGGTAACTTGGATAGTTCAAATAATTGCAAAGAGCTTCTCGATACTGAAATATTTTCCTTTTCAAAAGTATAGAGGTTTTAAGAAGGTTTGGAAACTTCTGTAAGATGCAATATGATCAGCTGACTCTTTGAAATCATCTCTCAGTGAAAATACTGTTTCAATTTATTTTCATTTTTATTACTCAGATTTATATATAACTCCGTGAGACAAATAAGAATAACCTAAACCTTTAAATGTAAAGCCACCCATTCGAAGGCATCTTGCACACTCATGTTCATGCTGAAAATATGTACATGAAGGAAATATGACACTTTGGGGACCCTGCTGAAGCCAGTCCCTGGAGCAGTGTTGCTCCCCATGAGGGGCACTCAGGATCAGGATTTGTGCTGTTTCCCTTATGCGCTTTACTGGATCTAGATTATTCAGCTGCAGTAACTGGACAAGAGTTATCACTACCTGTCACCTGTTTTTTTACAGGCTAGCACAGAGCATTTGGTTATAATTCATAAATATTACTAGAAAAATACTCTGTTTGTAACCATCAGTGCTAACTGCCCCATTAAAAGAGGGAGCAAAAGCAGACTCTGTGCTGGCAGGATCCTTTACAAGCAGCACATGGGGGTGTGAGCTGTTGTGCTTGTGATTGACCTTGGGTCTGTTTTGGCACAGATGGGATTGTAGGTTGCATGTCTGAGGCAGGTCAACATACACTAATTAGGACCTGTGTGTGCGATGGGCAAGAGCTGCCCAACACATTGCTCACCAAATGCTGGCTGGGACAGTTGACATAGTTCACAGTGAATCAGAGCAGAAAACAGAGACAGACTTTTTAAAGAGTGGTGCTGGAGGGGAAGAGAGTCTCTAGTGGAGAGCTGGGAACAGATGGAGACTCGGCAGGAAGGCAGAAGACCAGATTGCCTACCTCTAATTTGGCATCTCTGAAGTCAGTGCAGCAAAGCTCGTTTAAACCTACTTGAAGCTGGACCACCAGAGTTTCCTCTAAGGCATATAGAGGAGGAAGAGGAGGAATCTATGCTTCTTGAGGCAAGCCTGTAGCACAGACCTGCTGAGCATGTGTGTTAGACGGGAGAGGAGGTAGGGACAAAGGGGAATAAACCCCATGCCGGGCAGCTGGGCAGAGACTGGCGCCACTGGATCGCCTGACAATGCATGGTGTGTTTTTGCACTTGGTTGAGCGTAAATGTTGACGGGGGTGGAGGAGGCCATGAAGAGAAAACCTTAAAGACAGAGGGCAAGAGATGACCACAACAAAATTTCAGATGAGAGAAGAGGTGGATGTAACTGCAAATGAGCTATTTATTGCAATTTAAAGGAAAGTTGAGAAGGTAAATCTTGCCTGTACTCAGAGTACAAATCCCACCCAAGCCAGAGGCACCAGGAGGGCAGTACACTTGTCAGAGCTGATCTATGAATACTATTCTTAGATGCAGCAGGTTATTTATTATGGATGTTTTGAACCAACATGTCATAATACATCATCTCAGATGCTAAAGGATGAGTCTTATTCTTTAGTCTTGCAAAAAATGTCCCCCTTACTCTGCTAACAAGTATGAAGTTTCTGCCTAGAACAAAATTCAATGGGCTTTTTAATTTCCCTTAAGCTTTAATTTTACTTTAATTTTTCCTGTGCCTCTATTACAGAAGAACTGAGAAGCCAAAAGAGATTGGGGACCCCCCAGAGAATAAGAAGTTACCCTTGTTCTAAAGCAGGTGATTTATGTGCTGGCCCAAACCTCCCCATCTCTGGGGCAAGGCTGCATTTTTGTTTTTTCAATCTAGATTTGGTGCCCACTTTGCCAGCATCTCCATTTCTGTGTTCTAGAAATAACTGCAATCTTTTCTATTTTTCATATGAAGCAGGATGGAGCAGGCAGCAATCTCACAGCAGGATGACCAGAATGACATCTTTAGCAAAAACTTGTTGAACCCAAGGTCTTTTTAAGAATTAACTTCTTTCTGAGAAGAGCTTTTACACTCTTCTTCACCATCTTCACCAACCAGTTCTCCTTAAAAGCTAAATGGACAATAGCTAAGATAGAAAACAAAGCTTGGGCCACACAGACAAGGACTAAAGAGCTGCAAATGGTGTGCTTGCATCTCACAAGTGACCTGTGAGAAGATGGGAGATGTTGTGGAGGCATCATGATTGTATGAAGCAGTTGTATGAGCTGCAGTGAGTAGTGTCTGATGACAATACAGTTTCCTGAAAAAAATTAGCTTGTGAGATTGGCCCGGAACTGGAAAGTCTGGGGGAAGAAGCATAGTTTTTAATATGTTTAGGATGGAGAAGCTTAGGGTTTTAAATTTAAATTTCCATGTGTCCTTTGTGAGACTGCATTCAGGTGGTTGTGTCCAAGTATGGTGAGAGTGGGGATGGAGCCAGAGGACTCTGATGGGAAGACCTTGAACATTAGACCTTGTACAATGCTGACTGTCTGCAATTTTGGTAAAGAACTGTAACGCATATAGGTCCTGATAAAAAGCCATGTGGCACTTGGAACATGCAGTGCCCCCTCTGTTACATTATGTTGCGGAGTCTCAGTGTTTGCCAGGGTTGAGGCAAGTGCTAGTATTAGTGAGCCTCTATTTTTAAAAAACATGATTCTAGCTCCTAAAATCACAGATTGTCTTAGAATAAGTGTTTTGAAGAAACAAACATGTATACCTTTGTCTTTCTGCTTTTTTTCATTTGAGGTGGTATTTCACAAGCTTTGCTTGACAAACATATGGCTTAAAAACTTTTAAAAAATTTTTAAAAAAAGAAAAATAAGGTTGTGGAAAAGCCAAACCCCAAAGCTGATGCCTGTCCACGGCAGCAGCATGGAGGCTGGCAGCCAGCACCCCTTCCAGCATGCAGGCAAAGGACACGCAGGCGGTGTGTTCCCTGGAGTGCTGCCAGGGATGGGAACACAGCGATGCTGGGGGAGGACCAGGAGGGGAAGTAGCTCCTCGGATGTGCTGGTGAGTCAGCTGGCTTGGGACTGCTTTCCACAGAGACCTGCGGCTAGGAGCGACCCAGCTCTGGCAGTTGTCTTCCCTGGAGAGGTGACCTATGGCTGTAAAACAACCCTAGGAAATGCTATAAAAATAATGTGCGTATAAAGCTATTTACCTTCTCAAACCAGAGGAATGTTATGTAAAATATAATAGAAAGTGAGAGGGAGTATATGGTACCCACATAGCTGCCACCGCAATGCATTTTTTAAGGATTGTGAATACAAAGCAAATTGCAAAGGAAATATTAATCCTCCAAAGGAAGAGAGGGGAAAGAAAAAGAGAGGAGAGCAAGAGGAGAAAGGAGGGTATTTTTTTTTGTAAAAGACTGTTACTGGGAACATACTTACCTACTTACCCTTTCCTGACATGCCCAGGTGGGATGGCAAGTGATTTTGCAGCACTGATGCAGCAGGCTGGTGGTATATTGGCCCATTTTACCTCATGCTGACCAGATTTTTGGAGGACTCATTAAAAGGATCAAAAAATAATAAGTATGTGAATGTAATGAAGGATTTATTTGTTTGATTATTTTTTTTTCCCCCTCTCCTTGGGCTACATTTACACCCAGCTTGGGGAGGCAGAGGTGAGAGTGTATTGAACAATTTACAGGTGATATAATTTTAGACTCTTGAAAACTCAGACTTTAAAATCCCCAGATGAATTGCTGCATAACTCAGCTGTAACATGACATTTAGTATGTGTCATAAGTCTTGCTTCAAAATAGAGCTTGCCAACCAGGACAGCACAGGGGGCCTGACAGAGATAATGGATGAATGAGACTTCCAGCTGAAGGAATGAAATGGTGAAGTCTGTAATCAAAATGCGAGGACCATTTTAGGCATGATTGTAGAGGAGCTGGCAGAAGTAAGGCAATGAGAGTTTGAAGGCTTGACAAATGAGAAAGCCCAGAATTGTACCTGTACTGAAACAGCACAGACAAAGGATGCAACCAAACCTGTGCCTCTCTAGACCTGGAGAAAAATAGTGTTGTACCTGGAAGAGAGGAGGGATCCTTACTAGACAGTGTGCCAAAGACATGGAGCAAGAGGTGGTCCATACCCTGGAGACCTGACCATCAAACCTTGTGGGGACATAAAGTCAAAAGTTAGGGAACAGACTCCTATACTATAAGTTTGTTTTCCTCATCCTTCCTTCCTACAGGGAACTTCCCCTGGATAGGGAAAACACAGAGGATGGGAGCAATAAATCAGAGAAGAACTAGGGGAGTTTCTTGGGTGAGTGCTGGACTCATAAATACTGCTGTAGTGTTGGAGAAGGGCAGGTCAGGGATGCACCATGTGAGAGAACAGGGCCTGTTCTTGGAGTATCCTGCTCTAGGCACCACATCTTTGTCTGTGCAGAGGATGGTTGGTAGGTAGCTGCAGGGGAATTGATGCCTTACCACAGATTTCTGCAGTAGGCACAATAATCATCCCCTGTGATGAGAGGAATTATCTAGCCAGCTGCCCAGGCAGGGCGGGAAACATCACTCGCAGGCAGAGAAATGTGTGCTTAGCTCCACTGAGCAACATAACATAAGCGTGCATGGGAGCTCTGGCTCCCCACTGCAGCAAATCAGGCTGCTTCTCATTCTAAAGAGACTGTGGTTGTGGCTCCTTCAACTCACCCAGCACTGTCACCTCTATCTTTACTGGTTTTAGCCAGTTGGATCCTTCTTATTGTATTTTCTATTCTTTGTCAATTAGCACTGAGTGGAGGTACTGTTGCTGTTGACCCGCGTGGGTGGAGACAAGCAAAGGGTTTAATTTCAAAGGACTCATCTGGGACCTTCAGAACTCAAAGCATAAAATAGGAAGTCACAGCTGTAGGGGAGACCACAAGTCAGTGGTCAACCAACAGAAGAGAGACTGGTACTGTCTGCAGGGGGCTACTGTGGGACTATGACAATGTGTGTTTTTTTCTGAACATGTGGTAAAACTGTTTCTGTCTAATACCTTTTCATTTCCAGCTGAAAAAAGATCCCTCTTCTTCCCCTTCCACTTGCTCAATGTACTACCAATGGAAAAAAAAAATCAAATTAGCATCTCTGTTATGGATAACTTCCCAGTTTTAGGGCAGAAACTGTCAATAAGGTTTGTTTTATAATCAACCATGTCTTTTAATTGCTAGACCTATGATGTGGATTTAAAACTGTTACGTTTCTAATTGATGCAGGAGTTATAATTAAGAGAAAAAGCGGAGAAATTCCATGCCCGTTGGCGGTTGAAGCCTTTGCTGCTCACCTTAGCTATATCTGCAAATATGACGACAAATACAGCAAGTAAGTAAGAGCACATGTGTTCGTGTGTGCGTGTGTATTTCTTTCACTCCTCCTCTGCTGCTGCAGTGTTTGAGGTCTCCATGCTGAGCTGCAGCTGAGGGCCCAATCCTGCTTTCACAAAATTAATCTCTGACAAAACTTGTATTTCAGTCAAAGGTCAGAAGCTGGCTCTGCACAAGGGCAAGAGCTGCATTGTTTGGCATGTTTTGGCTCTATCTACCCATCCACCAGTCAACAAAGATTTGGGACTTATGTTCTTAGCATCTTGTAAATGACTTTTAAGAAGTGTTGGGAAGACAAGCCAGCAGGCTGATGTTCTTGGCCACATCAAACTGAAGGCTAAATAGATAATTCAGAAAAGGTCTACCAGCCCCACAAGTCTCTCAGGCTAGCTCAGCTCTCTGCCCCTATCAGCAGATGGTGTTTAGGTGATTATCTGTCACAGTGATATTTGTGTCACCTGGAGCCAGAATGTAGATCTTTCGGCTCCTGAGTTCCAGTTGTGGTCCTCAGTGCTAGCTCTTAATGTAGCAGAGAGAAGCAGAAATGAGTAAGAATAGCAGTGGTGAAGCTTGGCTGTGGGAATACCAATGAGGTGCAGAAGATTTCAAGAACTAAAAACTGAGGGGAGAGAAGAAGCAGCAGGGATTTTCCAAGCCAGTTCTGGGCAAGGCAGCAAGAATTCAGTAGAAGAGATGAAAGAGAAGGAGGTGGTTGCTGGAGACCGATGTTGGGATCTGATCTGAAGAAATCAATACGGAAAGAGGTGAGGTAGTAGATTTAAATAGTTACTAGAAAAATGAAAGTAGGAAAGTGGGAAATCTTATGATTGAAGAGCGAATATGCTGGCAGTCCTAGAATTAGTCAGAGCCTAAATATAAGGATGTCTGTCCTTTCTAGTTCTGCCTTATGGAGAGGTGCTCCACATACCAGCACTGCGCGCTCTGGCTCTACCCCCACATCCTCCCACCTGCTGTTGGCAACAGCAGAAATCATTCTTTGTTCACAGCAGAGATAAACAAGAGGAGAAGCATCAGCAGTCTTGCTTAAACTGTAATGTAATGGGCCTGAGGCTTTTTTTAGTTATAACTTGAAGGGATTCAGACCCACAGCTCCCATCACATGGATGTTTGTCAGATGTTTGAGATGACTCCCAAATACATTGTACAAAATTTCTTAAGATGATTCTTGTACTAGCTATTAAGTCCTGGGCCTGCTTCCCCTTTGGGACTGCAGAATCTTTGGGGTTATTTCTTGCATACCAGCTGCAAGTGTTTGTCTGAACAGTGCTTTTCCCTCCCCTTCTCTCTTGGCTTTTCAGGTATTTCATTTCTCACAAACCAAACAAGACCTGGCAACAAGTATTCTGGTTTGCCATCAGCATCGCTATAAACAATGCCTATATCCTCTACAAAATGTCAGAGGCCTACCATGTGACAAGGTATAGCCGTGCACAGTTTGGTGAAAGACTCGTAAAGGAGCTTCTGGGCTTGGAAGACACCTCACCCACCCATTGATGCATTGTTCTTGGTGGTGTAGGTAGGGGTGGAGGGTAAGCAGAAGAAGATACCACACCTGGAACAGCAAAGCAAGGAACTTGTGACACCACCAGTGCTGTCCTTATCCAAAAAATGCCAAGTGATGCCACTAGAGTGGTGGAAACTGTTCCTAGTAGCAGCTGGATGTAAGCACGGCCTGCAGAAAGTGCCACTGGAAAAGCTGACACAAAATTGCATATGTGAATGCCCTGTGGGAATCTGTACACCAGAAACAGACTTAAATTAGTCATCATCTCAATACTATTTGTTGAACAGGGTCATCTTGTAACGTTCTTCTTGGGCTAAGAGCTTGTCATAAGCTGATATAGCTCAGCAGTCCTAGGCAGGCATTACAGAAAACGCTATACCTTACTTGGGAGTTACTCAATTCTGGGACAAATAACGTCAGTCTGCACCATGGGCTGTGGTTGAGAGTGCCTGCCACCCTGTAAGGCATTGCTGCTGTCCTGCCCGTGTGCTAAACAAAGCAGTTCAGATACATAAACACTGAAGCAAACATATTGACAAACAAAACCTTCACAGGCAGGCAGCCAGGAACTGAGGACCAGTTAAGACTTTTTCTTTCTGTCTTTTTTTTTGTTTCTTTGTTTTTATTAATGTAATGTAAAGCAATTTGATCCCAGTTAGAACACAGCAAAATCAAGAGAAACCAAATACATTAGTGAATTTTAAATGGAAATACATTACGTTGATTTTCTTTATTAACCAGGATGAAACATTTTATACACAAACAAACAGTGAGTAATACTGTAAGTATTAACAGTGAGTAAACCAGTAAGTAATACTGCCTCATATCTTAACTGCCACGGTCAGCGTACAGGTAAGAAATCAGAGTACAACAATTATATTTTTTCTTTTTTTTCAACTGTATCTTAAATGTTGCTTAAAACTCTAATGTAATGGACTGCTAAGTTTTTAGGAACAACAATTTCTTTCTTTTCCTTTTGTAACTGTCAAGACTTCTTTGGTCCATTTTAGAAATTCATTTGGCACACAGTTGGCAGGAAAAAAATAAGTCACTAGTAGCAGTGTGTTTCCCATTATCACTGCGGGGTGTTCTGTAGGAATTCTTCTTGTTAGAATTCAGGGTTTGTCACAGTAGTTGTAATCAAGCAGATTGTTTTGCAAAATAACATAGCCTTGTGTTTTACAAAAAAGCAAGAAGTCCAGTTGCAACCAGACCTTAATCCTCACTAAAACAGAGCAAGCCCTAAAGAGTTCTCCTGTTCTGAGTAACACTGTACAGGACAAGCATCGTCATGACCTGGTGCCCATGGCTGGAACCCCACGTTTTGGTGCTGGTGGAATCTGAAGGCTGCTGAAGCTTCAGAAAACTATGCCAAGAGAGAGAGGTATGACTGAAACAGGAGAATTGATACTGAGGTGAAATTCTACCCTGCACTCTACACATTATTGATTTCAGTCCACAACTCAATCAGCAAAAAACTCCGTATTCTAAAGGTTAGCAGCGATGGACACAAACACAATTGCATTAACTTCCAGGGCAGAAACAATTTTGCTTAGAGGACAGGCTGGTTTTAGGTCCCCAAGCATGAAAAGTTTTAACGAAGAATGACTTGGGTTGCTTCAACAAGAATGGATCAATTGATTGATTTCTTTATCAGTGTAAACCTCAGCAGGTTATATGTAGCTACCTGGCAAGAGACAATAGAGGGTAACCAATGTGAATTTGAGAACTCCCCAGGTTTCATCTTTATGTGATGTGCAAATGTAAAACATCCAGCAGGGGTTAGTAAATTACTGACTAGCCCAAAGAGCATCCTTGCACTGACATCTTTCTATTTCCACCAAAGTCTTATTTTTGTGGAGTAGACTTAGAGGCAGATCTCACCTGGTTGCAGGGAGAGTAAGGGGATGGCCAGCTCCATGGTCATTCTTTTTGCAGTAGAGCCTGGAGGCTGTCCCACATGTCCTGCTCTGCCTGCAGCTACACAATGTGCTGCAGTAGGTTTCCTAAGCATCCCTTTTCACTTCTCAGTCCGCAAGGTCTCCACCTAGAAACTTGGGAGAAAGGACAAAACCTTCTCCACTTAGGCCTCCTAGCCTCAAGAGGAAGGAGAGGGTTTGTACAACTCTAGTCCTTGGCAGCACCAAGCTGCACAGGAACTCAAGGTTGCGTTCAGAACGACTTGGCCCTGCAGAGAACTGAGACCACCCCTCTTCAGACTGAGGGCGTGTGGTAGCTGGTTCTTGTCAGTCTTGTAAGTATCAAAAGGGGGAGAGGAGCTAGTGTGCAGCATGAAAAACAGATGTTCAGCAGTATGAGCCCACAGTTTCCTTTTTTCAGGGAATTCCACAGAGGTACCTAAAGGCAAACGGTGTTCTTATTGCTCCCTGCTTCAGGCAATGCCAGCCTATATTGCAACAGGAAGAGTAGCTACAAGTTCATTATGTCCCATAAATTTATAGGGTAGTCAGAACTGGAGCAGTGAGGAAAGGTCTGGTTGGAACTTAGCTGATTTTTAGCTTGAACAAACAGGAGCTGCTGGGAGCCCTGCTTCCTCACATTCCCCCGCGATGCCAGAGCATTTGCAAGGTCCACATGCCCCCAGCAGAGATGGGGAGGTTTGCAGGACCTCCTCAGAGCCACCTCAGAGCTACTTCTGAGGAGCAGGCACAGCACTCTCCAGCTATGTCATAGCCTTCTGAGATAGATCTGGAGCCCTTGGCCAACGGTTGCATTACTATGTATGCTTTAAAGCTTGGATGTAGGCCCTCCTGTACAGCAAAATGCCTTTTCTTTTTCAGGTGACAGGAGGTCCAAGGCCTTGGAATGGTTAATTTTCTACTAATGTACGCTGTTAATTATGTGGATTACTTGAGCTAAAATCATGAGGTCCTAGCTTTTTGCCTCAGGGACTGGGTCCTGAGTAGTTTTCCCTAGAATTTGTGTTGACGGGGGATTACACAGTGGCTGACTATGACAGGGAAGATGCTTTAGTCTCCTTTGTAAAGGAGAAAAGTGAAGACAAAATTATAGCTTTGCAATGAGTTTCATTTTATTAGCCTTAACCATCCCTCATCATTTTGAACTGGTACCCTAAACATGCACAAACATTCCATAGGTAAGCAAAAATATTTATATATATTTATATGTACAAAATGCCTGAATTTTGGCTCTTGAAGCCAACAAGCAGACATCACCAAAGCATAGTCTATATCCGCAGATTACTATTCCACCTCATCTTCTCAATTTATTGACTGGGAGGGGAGAGGGTTGGGGAAAGTTGAGATTTCTCCTTGTTGAAAAAGCATCTTGCACTTTTTCTATGTTACTACAAACGAGGCAAAATAATTAAGGAAGAAACTGAATAATTTTTAAAAGGCAAAAGTTTGTTAACTGCAGCTCAGCTTCTGTAGCATTTCCTTTACTGCAAACCGGCTTACTCAGATTTGGTTCCCTGCCTGCTTGTAACATTTAAGCTTCTCCATAGTTAAAGGGGAAAAAAAAAAGGAGGTTAGTCTCAAAGTAGTTCAAGGATGCTAGTTATAGTGTATGCGTGTGTGTTAATTGTGCAGTGGCTTGTGATATGATAGCAAGTTTTTGTTGTTTTGGGGTTTGTTTTTTTTTCCTAGCCTTGAGACAAGCTGGGTAAGAGATCTTAGAAGGTCAGCAGTAGCTAAAATGCAGTGTAAATACCAACCGAGTCACAGAGGAACATCTCTGAATTTTTCCAGGAAAAAAAACAGTTTAAAGCTGGAGTAAACAAGGGAGCAGCAAGGCTCGGTTCTCTCCTGCAGAACTGAATTTTCATTCACACGTAATTCTGAAAACTGCTTATTCATGGTATGCAAACTTTGTTTCAAAGAACTGAGACCATCAGTAAGAGATACTGACCACCTTCTATGCACAGTACTTCTTTCAAGAGATGCCTGTCGTGCCACGATCCATTCTTGGAAAACATTTCTTTTCCCAGTGTGTAATATAACACTCTTGAGAGGTTAGAAGCCACTGTGAAATGGCTTCCACTGCTGTTTGCTCTGTTGAAAAATGCTTCAAGGGCTTGCAGAAACTGTCACTTTTTACTTCAGCCTATTTGTGCACTTGACACTAGGGCACAATTTAAAGAAATCTCATCTCTGTTTTCCATTTCTATTCTCTAGCCTCAACCCTTCTACATTTATGATGTCGTCCAAGAATCCCAATTTGTAGAAGCCTTAGTGTCCCTAATGGGTACAACTTTGTTTTCTTCAGACAATTCCTAGAGAAAAATGAATTTGGCTGTTTCCAGACTGACATTAAGGACAGCAACTCAAAACAGCATTCCCATTCTTCACCTCCAGCTACACTTCTGTGGCTTTTTTTTTTTTTTTCATCTGAAGAGGTTTTATTTCCTTCTAACATTTTAGTAGTCTATCTTGAGCTGGTGAGTAGTGAAAGAAGCCTCGAATATCTCAGTCTTACGTGTCTTAATCCACTAGTCCTAGAGCTGATTGTAGTGATGAGTGGGGGATTACGCTGCACTGATAATTCTATGCATCGGTGCTACTTTCCATGCAAGGACTGCAAACTGCTTTAACCTCAGCAGTCATGAGACACCATTAGCTCCTCAAATAGGAGCTTCCCCTTCCCTAACCAGACACCAAGGCACAGCACAGATAAGGGGACGATGAAACTGGACTTTGCAGTCCTGCTGATTAAGTCCATGTTCTGCATGCAACTTGGTTCTTGTTCAAATGCACTTTTCCAAACTAGACATGCAAGCATGCTGAACGTCCTTCCAACCTGAAGTGAGGGCTGTGGAACTTTGTCAGCACAGGTTTCTTACTCCATACAGGCTGGTATGAGTCAAAACCAAGTTGCACCAGAGGTAAGAAAAAACTGGATAAAACATAGCAGCCCAGTCTGCCTAGAGGAGCTTAGAGGAAATAAGTGCAAAATCTGAAGCTCTGCTGTAGTCCAATAGTCAGTGTGAAATTCAGACAAATAATTACTGACTTGAGAAAAGTCACTGAGGCTTAGATGGAATATGAAGTCTTCCATCCATCTCTGTTATGGAGCTTGCCATGGCACTTTCTTGTTGCTAGGATTGATGTAAGTTTAATTGTTTGTAAAACAAGAGCTCTTCTCAATCTGGTTGAGAACATTCAGGTGTCAAAGGACTGTTAGCAATGTTTCACAGAAGCAAGGAAGATGAAGCTCAAACCATGTATATATTTGGCCTGTCATTAACTACGATATTTTGCACAGACAGATCATGTCATCATCTGCTCAAATAGAAGCCTATCACCAGTGCTACTTGAT